GAGCGTCTCCGGCGCGGACGCCCCCGCCGGGGATCTCGCCGCAGCGTGCGCCTGAGCGCGGAGAGGGGCGCCTTCTCCAAGGGAAGCGGTGCCGCGGCCGCGGGGCGCCCTCGGCTCCACAGCCAGCCTGGGCCCCCTGACCCTCTCTCCTTGGAGCACTGCACCGTCCCCGGAGCGGCTTCCTTACGGATCGCCTGCGCGCCCTCCCCGAGCTTTGCTGTGCCCGGCTGGTCACAGGATCGTCGTCTCCCAGGAAGACGCCTCTGTGAGTCCTGCGGGCGGGCGTGGGTCTCCCAGGGAAGCGCCTTCCTGTACGGGTTCCCAGGAAGGGAAAACTGCGTAAACGTCCCTATGAAAGGTAGCGGAACACCCCCCCAAGAAAGAACGTTAGGTGATAAGAGCAGAGCTCCGGAGCCCAAGCCTTGTTCGGGGCATGCTCCTTCCCCTGTCCGGGTCTAACGACAGTCCGTGCATGTGGGGGCCACTATCCCCTGTTCACACACAAGGATGTCGAGTGCTTCACCCCAAGTCAGGCATCTCTCAAGGAGGGGGAAGCCAAGATGTGCATCATAAATCCAGAGCCCTACGCAGGACGGTTAGGTTGCTCCGTCTTTGCCCGTTACCCATAGAAAGTCAGCAAACAAACAGTACAGTCTTGTAAGATAACCGCATTCATCAGTACGAAGAGAATGGTAAGGCCGCGAGAGGAAGTGGCGGTGGAAGAGATCAGAGAGTGGGGAAGAGAGTCTGGTGAGGAACAATCAAGGGGCAAGAAGTGAGAGGAAGTCCAGAGTCCTTTCTGCATAAATGGAGGCTGGGTTCCCTCCCTTGCACCTAGCAGGAGGCACGCATCCCAGAGATCTATCTGGTGGCCAGGAAGAGGTCAGCAGTCTTGGGTTTCCTGAGTGGAAAACGCGACCCAACTTTCCCATCCACTGTACAGAGTAAAGAGAACAACGGATGTTGTATCGGGGACAGCAGATGACAGTCCCTTCCATTGTTTGCACTAATAGGCCTTCTAAAGGTGGCTTCCATTGCTTGAGAAAATCAGAATATTCTTCTGCAAATAACTGGTATAGACACAGATCAGCTGCTGTGAGGTCCAACCTCTGGCTCCCAGAGAGGCTGGGATGATAACGACCACATCCTTGCAACCAGGCTTTCTTGATCTCACACTGCAGTTGAGAAGCTCCTCACGTGTGCACTGTAGGACCTAAATGGAGTTTGCCTCAGTGACTTGCCTTTTGTAAGTCTCCACTGCGGCCCTTTCTCTGTGCTGCCTTGTTTTTCTGACTGATAACATCAGTACATTCAGTCTGGCTTCATCTGGGTATGTACACTGTTCTAACACTTAAGATTTTGCTTAATTTAGCCTTGATTCTGTATACATTGGGATTTCACTCAAAAAAAGGTAAACCTGTCTCCTTTCCAACACTGAAAGTTACAATTCCTTCTTTTTCTCAGATATATATCTACATGCATTTCTTGTATATCTGTATGAGTATTGTATATCAATGACGAGTATGTAGAAAATAATTTCTTAGACCATTCCTACAAGTAGGATTCCTTCAGATTTCTTCATCCTAGCAACCTCCAATTATTTGGGAAACTTTATTACTTATAAATGTTTGGGAAAAATTGTGTTTGGTGACCTAGTTTGTCAAACCAGTCTCTTACTAGCTTTGTCAACACAAACATCTCTTTGTCTTTGATCACTGTTTGCTTCACTCATTAAGGGGTTTATTAACTACCCATTATTTACTAGGTGCAATAATAGGCATTGCAAAATCAGTGACCAATAAGTTATCAAAGGCCCCAGATATCATGGTGCTTTTGTTGTAGAAGGGACAGACAAAACAAATAAAAAGCAAACAACAATAAGAACCCAAAAGAAAAATCCCTGGAGTCGTTCCAAATTGTGACATTGGTAGCTGGGATTTCACTTCGTGGTTAAATCCTTGCTACTCGACACCCAAATTCTTGCTACTCAAATCCTGCTCCCTAAAACTCTACTTGAGTCACATCTAAATCTGGCACTTACTGTAAGCTCTTTGTTGTTGAGTTGCTTTATCCTAGGCAGTATAAAGTTTTTAGAGAAAACTAAGGCAAAAAGAGAAAGATAACATAAAAGGATGATGGGTAAGGATATCACCGAATATGTGACCCTGGACTGCCCTGTTATCTAGGAATGAGAAGTTGGATGTGCAGAAGGTGGGGAGGAGCTTTCCATGAAGAGAGAATGGCTTATGTAAAAGCTTAAGGCAGAAAGGAGTTTAGCGAATGCAAAGAATAAAGTCAGGCTGAGGCTTCATGAGCAAACAGGAAGTGGCCCGCTGCATCAGAAACACCAGAAACACTGGCGAGAGGGAATGGCGCCTGCTTTGCAAGTCAGAAGGAGATATTTGGGGGTTATTTTCAGGGCAGTGAGAAGCCTTCAGTTATTCTTTAGAGGGAATGAAATGATGTGTGTGGTGAGAGTATTGCTATTGAGTGCAAAAAAAGAGTGGGTAGCAAGGATAGCAGTAGGGTCCCTTGTATGGAAGCCATCACTGTTGTCCAGGACAAAGAAAAAGATGCCATGGGCCAAGGTGATGGCACTGGCTGGATCTGGGATAATGGGATGAGGGGGAATGAAGAGGCAAACCTGCCGAGACCTGGCTGAAGACTGGCTTCGGCATATAGCGGTAGGGGGAAGAAAAAGAAGCATAAAGACAGTCGGACTTCTGACTTGGGCAGCGAAGGTGGCTTGGCATTTAGTTAGGTGGGAAAGTCAGGTGGTTCCATTTAGTTAGGTGGTTTGCCATTTGGTTAGATGGTTGGCTGCTTGGTTCGATGGGACAGACTGAAGAAATCAGGAGCTCTACCTTCATCATGCAGTATTAGGTGTGAAACATTTGAAGAGAAATATTAAGAAGATAATCTGATGTAAGACCAGATTGAAGAAGAGATTTTTAAAGGTGTAACTGTTTTCCTGTGGGTCATTAGCTTTAGACAGTGTTTAAGCCCATAGAATTGGATGGCAGCACCCAAAGAAAGGAGTAAGTAGAAAGGAGAAGGGATCCGGAATCCAGCCCTGAGGTTCCCCTACTAGACGCTGCACTGACCACGGAAGGCCAGCACAGAAAGCTACGAGCAACCAGGCAGTGTGGCTGGAGGAAAGTCAGGAGGGAAATGTTTGAAAGGAACCAAAAGTGGGAGTGTTTGAGGAGTGAGGGAGTAGGAGCAACCAGTGCCACCCAGAGATCAAAGACAAGAAGAAAAAGACACCGAATGTCACTGGATTTGGCGTCACGGGGGTGGGTAATCTTGACAAGAGCTGTTTCTGCGGAGCAACAGGTGAAAACCAGATTGTGATGCGTGGAAGCATGAGGAGACGTTGAAGCTGTGGCTCCGGCCTGTGCCCCTGGAAGTGATGGAGGGGAGAGGGCGCTAGGAAGAGATGAACCTGTGAGCAGGCGCTGGGCGCTCTCCTGTGGACAACTGGTGGGAAATCCAGCCTTCAAGAGCTCCTCACTCGCCCAGACCGCCTTACCCAAGGCTTTGGGGCCAGGACTTCAACTTTGGGCTACTTAGGTACCAGCCTTCAAAACAGCTGCCCCGGCCCTGGACGGGGGAGAGCTCGGGGTGCTCCCTATGCATCCCTCTGCTCAGACAGCTTCCCGAGCCTTATCAGCTCTGCAGCCTCATCTTCTTTTAGCAGCATTGGGGATTGAATCTAGGGTGCACTGAGCTGCACCCCCACCCTTTTTAATTTGTTATTGTGAGATGGTGTCGTTTTTAATTTGTTATTATGAATTGCTCAGGCTGGCCTACAACTTGTAATCCTCCTGCCTTAACCTCCCAAGTAACTGGGATGACCGGTGTGCACCGCTCCACTGGCTTCTTTTTCTCTTTCAAGATGCTGGTAAAGAAGGGCAAGAGCCTGCCAAGAGACAAGAGCCAAAGAGCTGATCTCTCCTCACTTTACATCTCCAAAATCTGTGGCCAAGAGAACCTCTTTGATGGCTCGGATGTTTTCTTAGTCACACGCTCAACTTTGTCATCTCCCCACTGTGTTCTCTGAGTACCCAGTGTAAGTTGGGATTGCACTTTTAAGTCATTTTTCTTCCTTTACCTTTGATTACGAGCACAATAATTCCACACCTTTTGGTTTACATTTTCGCATCTAGTTTTTGTTTTGCTCTCCAAATGATGATCGCTTCAAAATTCTTAATGATCCCATTTTAGTCCTCAACATTTACTTGTTTGGGGACAATTTCATATCTCTTATTATTAATTCCTTCCTCAGTACTGAGTCAGTTCTCCATCTGTTTTGGCTGAAAACAACCACCACAAGAATTTGCAGCGCAGTTCAGTACACAGGGTAATGTAACTTACTCTTTCTTTAAAAGAAGACTAAAAAATCCTGACTACCACTTACTATCCCTTTAGACTCTGCCCACTGGCCAGCCTTAATTTTGTTTATCTGAGGCAGTGTCCTGAGTCACCTGTTTGAGAACACCATGTCCTCTTTTCATAAATCACATTTTGAAGAAAATATCGGTGTGCAAAACCATGCAAGCAGCTAGCTAGAGTGATACAGAGATCCAGAGTCTTACAAGGTTCTGTGGATCAGAGACCATAAAGATTGTTTTCAATAAATTTTTTCACTATCTGAGTCAAAACCACAGCTGAAGTTAAAAAGCAGGCATTGAGGGGCTGGGAATTTAGCTCAGCGGCAAAAGCGCCTGCCTGGGAAGCGCAAGGGGGGGGGTTTGGTTCCCGGGCCCGGGAAAAAACCAAAAAAAAAAAAAAAAAAAAAGCAGGCATTGAGAGAGGCTGTGAAAGCCACATGGTTGCTCGCGTTTTTCCAGAGGATCAAAAGGAAGAGTAGCAGTGGCGGATGACCACACTGATTCCAAACTGGGGCTTCAGCTGGGAGTGTGCACAAGGACATGGAGGTAGGAACTCGAGTATACGGATGGGAAAGTTGCTGATGAGTTACAGCAGGGACCAAACGGCACGTGGATAGCTACCTGTCAACATCTGTTCCTTTCCGCAGTAATAGAATCCCCTATTTCTTGCTAGGCACATGGTCATATAATAAGTGTGGCCACTAACCTCAGTTGCTAAGCTCCATAGCTTGTTACGTAACCAAGATCTGACTAATTGGATTTGAGCAGAAGGAGTGTGCACAATAATGAAGATTGAATAACTAGTGCTCCCAGGGTCATCCTGGCTGCTGAAATAATGTTGATAATGAAAGTCATGTAAACTCAGTAACAA